TTTTTTTTAGGACACTTGTTTAGGAAATCGACAATTGCATTTTTTTATATTGAGTACTTACTGGCATAACTTTGAGTATTTTGTTATTATGACCCTGAATAATCTGCTGCATGCTCTTCATACAACTGTAATATATTTTACTGTGGGTCTGCTGAATATTCGTTTGATTCTGCTTCCACCGGGGAAATGGTTGTCTAGCAACCGGAGGAAGATATGACCAGTTTCCGTTCTAACGATTTTTGAGTAAGGTGGCTTATACCATATCACTCCTCTGTAGCGACTTTTCTTTTCAATGGAGCGAGAATCGCATGGTTTAAAGACATTGCTCGCCGACCTTCCAGTGTACCCCGCCGTTTCAAGCGCCGTTCTGTACACGTTTGCAGATTCTTCTGCTATTACCCGGCTAGATGAAGGAGACTGCAATCTTTCACCGGTGACCTTAGGTGTGTTTCCTATGATTGCATGGGGAGATTCGAGGTTTTGTGAACATAAATCGGCTGGGCGTTCGGCTTGACGAACGACTTGTGTGTCCCGGATTCTAACGCTAGATTTACATCAAGGAAGTGAACTGCTCTATTGTTGGTAGATGCAGTGATAGTAAGCCCATACTTTTGGAAGAGCTTGACTAGATCCTTTCTAATGCTGTCAGCTGCGGTTCCACTGCATGATTTCATCACGGAGAGGCCGTCGTCCCTGTATAGTCCTACCAATGTCATGCGCACTGCTGTTCCGGTATGACAGTAATGTTAGTCCGGTCATTTGAGAGTCTTATCCTTATGCAATAATACTGTTAAATGATACGCTTGTATATGGATTTCTTTCCGGTGAGATATGTGTAAGACAAAAAAAACAAACAGGTTGCATCTTCAGCTCGTCTGTGAAGTGGCTAATATGTGTTCAAAATTCCGTGATCATTACACTTACAAGTAGTTTTTGTTGTTTTTAAGCGTCAAAGACCCACAATAGCATTGATTTGTCTTATATCCTCAGTCCATACTATTTAACAGCAAATTCCCATCGAGTTCGATGTTATTTTCAATTTCTGCCAGTGTAAACCGTACCGTACCATACGGTGTAAATTAAGCTAAGAACGCAGATTCCGCGTTTCGCATAAAGCGATTTTTCCCTAAGGTATAAGGTTAAAAAAATGCATAAGAGAACAGTAGAATAGGACGTGAAATAAAAAAAAATCGCAAAGGAGGAAAAGAAGAGATGGCTTGGGTGGTACCTTATATTGTTAAAAATATCGGGCAAAACAGACTCATACATATTGTGGACTTGGGGGGAGTACGCCAAAAGGATGCCTTAACACATGTAAAATTGTGTGATTTATAGAAGAAAAATACTCATAGTACAATAAATGAAGAAAAACTATGAAAGCCTTTGTTGTTTCAGGGCCGTAGCCTGAGCAAAATCCGAGGGGGGGCAGTAAGCGGACACGAGGGGGCGAAGCCCCCAAGGGGGGAGGGTGTGGTAGGGGGTTTCCCCCTCCCACGGTGTGGAAAATTTTTAAAAACTGTATGTATAATACTGCATTCTGGTGCATTTTAACTGTTATTTATTGCTCAATCAGAAGTAAGAAATTGTGGGTTCATTTTGCCATAAGTACAGTCATTTTTTCAACACAACACGCCCATTGGACTTCATTTCGTAGATTGTCTCAGGATTAGGAATAACGTTTCTTCCTCTGTGGACAAGCAAGAGAGCCAATCCGCTAAGGTGTGCCTCTGCCATGCTACAAGTGCGTGTCCACAGTTTCAGACGACGGAGGGCTGAAAATGATCTCTCGCATGCAACACTGCCCACTGGTGTTGCAAGAAGATTGTAAAGATCCTACGAAGTGCAGGGAAATAAACAATGACCTGATAACAGCTTGGGGGATAGCTCCCTAAGGGAGGGTGAGCTTTCTGGCAAGAACTGAGTTGGCTTAAAACAGTACACCTTTGTAAACAGATTGTTGAATGATTGTCTAGTGGCCATGAGTGCATTTTCTAACAGA